AAGCGCCTTGTTGGGCGCATTGCCACTTTACTTGTGCATGCAGCGCGGAATTGTGCGCTATTGGGCGCGTGTATTATTTGGCGCCGCTTATCTGTAGTTTGGCCGCGTCCGTATTTCCTTATGTATACATGGCACACGTTTGGGCGATTTTTTATAGCTCACGGCTGTTCCGCGCCCATAGGTCGTGCGCTTATAAAGTCGAGAGCGCTCGCTGTAGCGCCCTCAAGAGTTATGTAGTATAAATTACAAGGATGGCGGCGCCCGCGGTCGCCTAGATACGATAAACAAACTAATAAAAACTTTAAAAAACCAAACAGAGATTAAAAAAAACACTATATATCAAAAAAGCTTAACAATCAATAAATGTTTTACCTATGTATATGTTCAATCTTTACACAGAAGGTTTTTTTTATGACTTTTGGAAGCATTATTGCTACGATCGTACTGATCGGTATATAATTATCGGTTCTTGAAAATTACCCATAAAAATAAAGCAAGGCTCAATCCTGCGACAAAAAATTCTACCAGTACAGTTCATGATATTTCCTAAACAATTCTGATGAAGAAAAGTGTAGGACATTTTATTTAATAGTAGTTTTAACTTTGTTAATTTCGTCCCGAAACCCCGTGAACACATAGCCGCACGGACGTTCGCACGTCGTCCGCGCGTTGGCTCCAAATCCACCCATTAAGTTAGCGCGCGTGTTGGCGGATACCAGCTATGCACTCGGGAAACGGCGGGTAATACAAAAGCACACAGTGAAAAGTTTTCTTTCTCTCGAATTTGAAGTTTTATTAGGCTTAAAAATATGTACACGTATTATACAAAGCTGGATCAGTGTCATGAGTTTTAAATTTCATCAGGAGGCACTAGGAAAAATCTGCAGAGTTTGTGCGTGTAGAATTAAAATTACTCTTCGTGGATCCAGGAGTAAAATACCTGAAGTGCGTGAGTACAGAAAGGAATTGTTCAGCATCTTTGAAATCAGTACCTGGGAGGACAGTGCAGATCAGCATCCGTCAAATTTGTGCGAAAAGTGCTGCAGAAAATTAAGGCACTGTAAATTTGGCACGAGGTGTTACACTCTGAGCTCTTTGAGTAAAACACAGCACATTCAAACAACTTGGCCTAAACATACCAGAACTGGCAACTGTTTCGTCTGCGATTTATACAATAAACAAACTGCAGCAGGATCACATGTGCAGTGCAAACCCGTGCGTGGCAGACCAAAATCAACACAAAGTAGATGCCCTTCTCCTCCCCTCCCCTTTTCACTGATTGAAGAAAACATCTTCCAGCATGTAACAGTGAAAACAGAGATTACTGAATACCCTGCTGAATTTGACATCATCGGTCATGATTGGGAACAGTCACTCTTCACATGTGGAATCTGCCTCTGCATCATTGGACAACCTTGTGTACAAACACCATGCCAGCACAATTACTGTGCACAATGTCTGACACTGTGTTACAGGCATGCAACAAATGAAATCATAAACTGCCCCATATGCAATCAAAAGGTCAGATTCCAAGATGTGACTGAAAGTCCCAGGGTCTTAAGGTTTCAGCTGGAAAACCTGAATGTAATCTGTACCAGGTGCAATGATATTGGCAAAGTACAACGACTACTGCATCATGACTGTCTAGTTAAGCCTGTTAGACACTCATCAGTGGCCCCTTCATCAAAATGCAAAGATAGTCCAAGGAGAGAGCAGCCAAATCTAAATCCAACCAACGCGGCACGTTTACTGAAACTTTTGGCTGAAACACACGAGGCAGGTACACCAATTCCCACTGAAATTGAAGAAGCCACTGACAAGTGGGTATGGCTCAAGTTGCAGAATGCCCAGCCAGGAAAGGCCACACCCATACGAACTGGAGGCCGAGTAAGTGTCATTTTACCTTTTAAATATATAAATAAATTTGTATCATTTCATTTCATAAATATTATTTCATTTAAATTCATTTCATTTGAATTCATTTCATTTCATTTCATTTCATTTCAATTCATTTCAAATAATTTTAGTTCATTTCATAAATATTATTCCATTTAAATTCATTTCAATTTCAATTGAATTCATTTCATTCCAATTCATTTAAAATCATTTTAGTTCATTTCATTCCATTTTAAAATTAAAACAGACATAATATTTACAGAAGTTTAGAGAGATCTAGGAGTTGGGACCAAATGAGGAAATTCAGACGGTAATTAGAAATATTGCAATAACTGAAACTTGTTGTCACGTCAAATTTCATTTGTCTTTATCAAAACAAAATTAAATACATCAGGTCCATACCATTACATCTCCCACAACTTTTCTGCAAAATATATTTACAATGCGCACTTTTCCCCCAGCCTGCTCATATTCAAAAGGTGACCAAGCCATCAAAGTCAAGTGAAAACATCTCCACCTCATACAAGCGACAGCGAACTTCAGCAATATCATCATTCCGGCAACATATCAGCAAAGGAGCTCCCGAAACCCAGCTGGCTGACGAAATCCATCGTCTGCATACCAGTTCGTCAGAAGAAGCCCATCACACAACTTCATCTGCTGATGGTGCTTTAGCCATGATGCAAGACTGCCACCTGGGTTGGGACCAAATGAGGAAATTCAGACGGTAATTAGAAATATTGCATTTACTGAAAGTTGTTGTCAAATCAAATTTCAGTTGTCATTATTGAAACAAAATTAAATACATGAATTTTTAAAATAGTACATGAACTTGCTTCTACATGTAACATAGAAACATTTCATTATCATAAACAGATATATGAAGAGCACCAGCCAAACCCCTATATGTTCTGAGCGGCAAATGAGGAAAGAACAGGAGACACTGCTGAAGGGCAATCTTGTTGGGGAGACGGTTCCTCTGTTTTTTAGCAGTACCGCAGCAGCAGCGATCGATGGGCTAGAGATTAAACATGTACCTTTTGTTTATGTGAAGGATCTAGCCATTATGATTACCGACTACCTGGATCGTCTTGACAGGTATATTCTAGTTAAAAGTTGGCATGGTTACTCTTAGTTTGATTCTTGCGCTATTTTTAAAATGTTTTATTGACAAGTGAATCACTAATGGAAATTAGCAATAGTTTTGTTTCTTTGTCATTACTACCAGTGAGGGGATGCTAACATGGCATGACGGCTTAATCCCAGAGGGTGAAGTATGGTTAAAGATCGGTGGCGATAAAGGGGGAAATTCATTCAAAATGAATTTCCAAATCGCCAACATTCTTCATCCAAACTCCCTTGTCAACACGGTAGTATTCGCATGCTTTGAAGGAACGGACTCTTTGGCCAACCTGCAGCGTACTCTTCCACCAATAATTGCTTTAACAATAACCACTTTCATTTTACTTGGGTATGGGTTATTATTAATAACAAGCTCAGAAGTACGAACACATGCTTCTGTATGGTACAAACTTTGTGACAGGAATTCTTCCATGTTTTTTTCCCCTAGGAACCGAGCTATTAGATTATTCTGTTATGGAGATTATGAGCTTCTAACAAAGTTGTATGGCATCAACGGATGTAACGGTAAGTTCATAAAGCAGAATTATCACTACATGTACATGTATTAACATGAATTAACATAAATTAATTGGGGGGCTCAGTAAATTAATTTGTTGAAATAATTTGTACTTCTTAATTCTTATCTTTCTAGCAAGATACTGCTGCATCTACTGTAAAGCCAGCAAACAGGACATGCAGTACTCCTACCAAGAGCGGGGTCCATGTATAGCCAGAACCCTAGGCTCAATGACAGCTGATTTACAACTATTCCAAGAAGATGGCGCCAAGAAACATAGGGCCAAAGATGTCTCTTTCAGTGTAGTTCGAGCGCCAATGATGCCCATTGAAATTGACCAAGTTAGTTTATAGTTGTATTTTTTTAATGCACAGCACATGTATTTTATATTTTTTTCACATTTTTGTAATACAATATATGCATATTTCATAGTACATGTCAAATGTTACTTGTTACTTGGAGGTGTTTGACTGTATTTGATTTGACATGCTTGTATAAAGGTACCTTTTTTCCATACTTATTCCAGTCACTGTTCCATTCACTAAAAAAAAAATATGAATGCCAACCCTACATGCATCCCAAAATTTAGGGCTGGTCAGGTTACAGTGCATCAGAAACAGAAAACTGAGGCTATTTTTTTTATCTTTGTCATTTTACAGGTGGTTGTTCCTAGTCTGCATATTTCCCTTGGAGTCTATAAGAAACTCTTCGATGTGTTTGAAAATTCCTGTCACAAGCTTGACCTTCAGTTGTGCCAACTTCAGGCACAACATGAAACAATTGAAGAGCCTTCTCCGAATAGATTTGAGGAACAAGTTATTGCTGAAGTGAAACGGCAGGAACTGATCCAAGGGCAGCTTACCGAGAAACGTCAACGTCTCGAGGAGATTGAGGAGGAACTACCTCTGCACCTCCTTCAAAACAACCTGGCAGCAGATGACCCCAATGCAGAACGTCAGCAGGCAGCTACTGAAGCGCTAAAGTTAAGACAGGAAATAAAGACACATGTAAGGACAAAAATAATACTTACAATCAAACTAAAATGTATGCATGTGCATGCAAGTAAAAGAAATCCTTAACTATTTGCTGCTACAAACAATGTCAAATTGAATAGCTTGGTTTATTTCCCTGTTCACTTGACTTACGAGTTTTGTTTATTTCTTGTCTGTTCTACATGTACATGCATACACGTACAGTATACATTTGTACAAAGTTAATTCTTGTCTGGTGTATGTTGTTATTTAAGGAAACTGAAGCAGCAACAGCAGCCTTGAGCCACGGTACAGGTCCAGTAGCGAGCTCACTAGATAAAGTGCTATCAACTTTCAAGATCTACAGACAGGCATATCACGGGAAGTCATTCGTGGGCAACCATGTCCAAAAATGTTGCAAGGTAATGAATGATTTGATCTCCATGTGTAATATCTTAATTAATGAAGATCATCACAAGTCATAATTCATACTGTCATGTTGATTCCAAATTTCAGCTTGAAGTAATAGAGGCGTTAACCTCAGTTCCACGACAAAAGATTGAGGAACATCTGAAAGACATGGACAACATTCCCATAGCAGTACAGAAGCGCATAGTTCGCCAGGCAGCAACTTGCGGTAGCAATTTCAAAGACATATTTTTGAAATTCGCTGATGTGCATCAAGCTATCAACCATGCAGAATACATTCAGGAAGACAGCATCCGTCGAACAGGTATTTGTCCCTCGTGCAACGACTGGCATTTTAGTTTTACTGGTATTACCTGTGTTACGCTCTTAAAAAAAAGCCGTTTTGAAAATGCTTTATTCTTATTTGTTCCCAAAACTGCAGAGATCGCCATCAAAGAATTCATGTATACATATCGGCAAATGTTCCACGATCAAAATGTGACACCGAAACTACACTTACTCGAAGACCATGCAACTGAGCAGCTTCGAAGGTTCAAGGTCGGCTTTGGATTCCTCAATGAGCAGGGTGGGGAACTCATCCACACTGAGTTTAACCGCACAGGCCGAGCTGTTCATGGTATGCGAGATGACCTGCAGAGGCTGATGACAATCATGAAGCGCAACCACATAAGTACAGCACCAGAAGTCAGAGCAAGAGTCGTCAAGCCAATGACCAAGCCAAAGAAAAAGAACTGATTAGCATGCTAAATGTACACGTGCTTCAAATCAACTGTAATAAAATTAAGGTTTCTAATTCTAGTTCCATTTCCAAGATAATGGCACAATTTTAGATATTTCCTGCATTTCTGACCATCATAATCCTGAAATGTTATTTCCATGGATTGTGTCACCCTGCAGGTGTTGACAGTTAAAATACCAGCCACCTCTTCCACTGTCACTCAAGGTCGTGACTAATTTACTCAACACCATAAGTATTCATTGAGAATTCAATCCAAATAAATTCATGTTGATCATCATTGTTTAGTGTGGCAGCATTAAAGGGACATGATGAAAAAAAATTTCAATTACTGCATGCTACAAACATTTCCATAAGTATGACTTGTATTAAGCCATAAATTATGACTTATCTCACAGTTATGACTAAGTAGACCGAGTCAGATTTATGAGATATGTCACTGAATAAGGGCGTAGTCATTGATATGACTATGCAACACTTTTCTGTGTCTGTTTGTATTCACCCAGTCCCTTTAAGTTTAAGTTCAACATTTCTGCAGACATTAGCATGACAAATTATTTGATTCTTGCCTAAACCCATTAACTGATGGGACGCTAGAACTACTTTTTTTGAAGCCCCTCACGGACCAAATCCAAAATTCGAAGGGAAAAAAAAAAGTTCTAGTGCCCCGGTTAGTGGGTTTACTTCTTGAACATTAACAGGCCTGCATCCATGAAAAAAAATAAATAAAGATAGGCCTACATGAATTGAAAAACTGCATCTTAATGGCCTTATTTTTTTTTTTTTTTACAATGACAACACATACAACATTATGGCTTTGTGCATCAGCATTACACTTTAAATACTTGCCTGATATTAAACGTCACATGTTCAAACTTGAAGTGCACGCAAAATCCTCTTTATCATTATGCTTTCGTATTTTTCTTTATAATATTTATTATTTATAGGAGCCTAATAAGAAAGCCTGCAGTGCAGAGTCCTTCAATACTTCAATACTCGAGCATGTTGAAGAGCATGTTTATATATGCTGCAATTTAGTCCTAGCTCAAAATTGAGATGTCGAAATCTTCACTTTCAAGTTGTACATGTACCTCTTGTCTTAGTCTTTGCACTTTGGTACTGAGCATATACACACTGCAAGCGTGCTCAACCACGAAAGATTGTCAACAAAATGTCAACAACCATGCAACAACAACGTACACCCTACACATGATGTACTGACTGTAGACCTAGGCCTGTATGTACTCGACTCATGCATCATGATCATCGCTTGGCGCTTTGTTACGAAACAGCAACTTCGCCCCCCATACATAATGCGTACTATCCACGCGCAACTGGGGGCAGAAGTACATCGAGGAACGGAATTTCATGGCATATTTCACCACAACTTCCCCCAATAAGATAAAATGTCCTACACTTACCACTCGTTTTATTGCAGGGAATAACTCGTGAAGTTTCCTCACTGGGGACCGGGAGCATTTCGTGAGCCATTTTCACTCAGAAAAATGACCGTCTCTTCGACGACCGTTAGTGAAAACGCGCCGATTAAAGCCATGTGACCACGCTATCGAATCAGCGTAAACAACACAGGTCACTTCCGCAGCGTCTCGAAATCGTTTGTTGGGGTCAGATAAATTATTATTCATCATGATAATATTCATGAATATGTATGATGTCTTGTTTTATGATCGTACGATAGGGACTTTTGAAATGCTGCGTATTCGGTCAACGGTCATCGCGTGTACAGAAGGGCGTGCATAAACAGTGTGACGTCATACACGTGTGGGAATGTTCGAACAACAGAGGGCGCACTTTATTAACGGGCGAAACAGCCGTGAGCTGCGCTGTGGCGCGAAGTTTAAGTTGGTTGCTAAGTACAGTCTAGTTTAGGGTCACTTGCCAGGTTGCTGCCGACAGTGCCACATCGAATGTTCTATTGTGTCAGCCCATAGTCAGATAGTACCCGTGTTATATTTTAGTCTACCACTTCTGGGGATTTTTCAAGGAACCCATCTTAACCGATAAGAACATTTATTTCTAGAAACGAACTTTATTTTTACCTGTCAGTAAAAGAAGGATTCTAGGCAATAAGTTGTCCTGCCTTGTGACGGATTTTAATTGCAGATAGGCCTAATCGGACACCTCCTGCAGGTCCGATTGGTCAATTCGCTTGCACCTCCGGAGGGAGAGCGCTAGTATTTTACTAGTAATCTTATTGCTCTGGTATATAACCTGAGTTATTAACCTGAGTTAATTAACTCAGAAACTGAGCGATCAAAAGTAAATTAACTGCATTCTGTTCATTGTTATTGTTTCCCTTTTATTAATTGTTGCGGGCCAAAATAACGCTTGCACCTCCGGAGGGAGAGCGCTAGTATTTTACTAGTAATCTTATTGCTCTAGTATATAACCTGAGTTAATTAACTCAGAAACTGAGAGATCAAAAGTAAGTTAACTGCATTCTGTTCATTGGTATTGTTTCCCTTTTATATATGAATTGTTGCGAACCGGAATAAATTTATTCCTTGTTTTGTTATTCATTCACATCTTGTGTCGTCTTGTTTATTCACTTTTGTCAGTCTAATCGGCCCATAAATTAGGATATGTTTTCCTAATAACGAATGTCCCCGCAGATTATACATAGCTGCTCAAGTGTAATTTGTTATAATAAATACTTATCGTGGCAATTATGGCGCCTCCCCGCGCCGCCTGACCACTACTTAAACGACTTTGCGATTGCACCTCCCCTCACCTAATTGAGGTCCTATCCTCTTTATTTCCTATCCCCTGGTTAGTGCGTTCCCCAAATCCAGCTGTCGTTCCCGCCACAATACTTACAAAGGCTTGGATAATAAAAATGCTAATAGAAAATGATAATAAAATCTGACGTACCCTATTTTAAGTTTAAAATTTTTTTTTTTTTTTTATTTCGAGGGTGTCCCCTCGTACTTGCAGCCCGTTAGTCATAGCTTACTATGCTGCAGTGCTTCAGGGAACTTGTGGGCGCCAGCAAAATTCAGTGACTGTACACGCGTTTGCCATAACTGTATCGTATTGTGGAAGCTTACCTTCATCAAGCCAATGCTTCAAACACGTGGACTTTTTGCCCCGGTTCTCACTAAACGACTCCCTGTGTTTGTGTCTTGCTTGCTCATCTTCTGCCTTCTCTGGCTCTGGAGGCACTGCTGGTCGTTTGGGGGGTTTTCGGGTCCAGGGGAACAAATCCAAAGGCCGATAGAGTATTTCGTTTTGCCATGACGCGCGCTACACCGAAAATAGCTAGCCTGCGTATTAAAGTAAGCCTGCTTACGATAACCTGGTAATTACGATCAAGATTCTGAGAGCACGCCCCCTGCCTGCTTGACATGTGGTTAAGTCCCCGAATACCAAAAGTAATACTTTTTTTAAGTAGATCACTTGGTCATCATCATGCCATCCAAATTCCTTCTGCGCGCGCGGCGCGGTGTGGACAGAAATATCACGAAGTCGTGGAAGCCGGTTCATGCTCATTACGCGAACGCTAACGGGCATGCAACTTTTCCACAGATCATATTCCTCGCTTGTTTTACATGTGAATTAACTTTTTACGGCATGAGTCGTCAGTGCATTCCTTATTTTCGGTGGCCACATGCGTTCCTATCAGATCTGTGTCGGCTCTCAAGGTCTACATGCACGTGACCCAAACGAGATTTTTTTTCACAGAGAGTACTACAAACAAATGTTCGCCTGATGACTGGATGGACGTATGGCTTATAAAAATATTCACGATCAGACATATTCGAAAATAAACGGAGACCTAGAGTTTCGAAACAAAAGCTTTATCTTATTTATAAGCTTAATTTACTGGTAAGCAAAAGAAAAATTGTATAATATTATAAGGCCTCATTATCTACAACTGAAGTTCATGGAATACAACATGCAATAAAAGTTAGCCTTGGCCCCGAAAGATTATGTTTAAAACTATTAAAGACGATGCACGCAATGTGCGTGGCCGCTGCAAATTCCGCAAACGTATTCAACACGAACGTCGCATGCTCAGGCTAGGCCTGCGGTCCAGCAACAGACTAGGGTTCAGCGGGATGTCATTCAATTTTATTCGAAAATGAAGTGGTCATTCTTGTTTCTAAATTTATTTAGTTGTAAATGTACACTGTAAAGTCAAAAAAATTAAACCTGGCGGCTGGATTTTAAAGCTTGTCGGTGACTTCTAAAACATGGCGGGCGCCGCAGAAAAGATGGCGGGGCGCCAGGTTTGTTGTACATGTTGGAGAACACTGGTTGATCTACCACTTGTTTATCATAATGACATATTACTTGAACGAGGTCAACTGTATTGGCATTTTTTTTCTCATTCAAATATGAGTTGTTAACTTGATACTCATTTCGTCACCGTTTTCACTCACGCGCGCCTATGGAAATACACATTGAACAGAAAGGGCCAATATGTCGTAAACCTGAATTTGCATATCTTTACTAATTAATTTTCACTAATTAACTGCTGAATTAAGTCTTATTACTGGGTTCATGTAAAAAAATCAGCTCACACAGAATAGTGTGATGGTTTCCTTGCTTCACAAAGTTGTTGCAAAGTGGCATTTTTTGCAGTTTTAAAATATGAGAAACTTCTTTTGCGATTATCTCGAAAACACTTTTTCTTCAAAATCGACATATGTGGCTCTTCGTGAAAACGGTGACGATTTGTTATCTTCCGTTTAGTCCTGTCAAGTAATTATATGACACTGACCTGTATTGCTTCAGAGCAAATAATTAAGTGTGCTTACTCTAAATTAATCATGAGTTATATTTTCGTACAATATGCAGAGCGTCACTCGTATTATTCTTTATATAAAATATTCGTCAGTATGCGCATTGCATCAGCTTCTGGTTACAAAATTTGTATCTATAGGCCTTTATCACTTTTATAAATATATAAACACACTAAAGGCCTACCTGAAATGGGAGAGGTGAAAACCTGGAGGTGGTGACCGATGGGATTGTTACGATATGAATGCGGTAGAACAACAATGTGTCACCAAGTCTTGAGGGACAACTAGCAAAATTAACCCATGAAAAAATGTACGTATAACTTGGACGATCAAATTTAACTTACATAGCGGAGTATCTTTTGTGTAGTTAGGCGAGCGATGTGGCGTGTTGTCAGGAAGGCGGCCATTGGCGTGAAATCTAATTCGAACGGTATAATTGCTTCAAGCAATTTTTAC